ATTCGGTGACAAGAAAGCACAGGGAGCCAATCCCGGCTCTCAACTCCTTCCTCCCAGCCTAGCCTACTGCTGGCCCCCACCCCGGAGTGCGCGCGGTGATTGCTGACCCTTCTTCCCGCCGCGTCGCCGCTATGCGAGGTTTCCCTCCCCTGGTAGCACCGGCGGGCGGGGCGCACAGGCCGCGGAGAGAGCAAGGCTGAGGAGGGGGGGTGTAAGGAAGCTGCTCCCCGCCCCTGGCGTCCCTCCTGGGCTCTCCTCTCCTACCTGACTCCTTCTGGGGAAGAGGGAAGCAGAGGCTTGTTTGGATCTTGGCCGGAAAAGGTGTGTGTGGCTTGTGGGAGTTTGGGAGGGTTTCTGGAAAAGGCAATCAAGTGGAGGCGAGCCAGAGTCCGGGTTGCCCAGTCCATCAATGAGTACCTCCCCTTTCTTCTTCGCTGCCTCCCAGATCGCGCAGATTAACAGGGCAAGATGACCAGGTGGGAGGGTGGAGTTAACTCTTTAGTTCCCAAGTAATGATGGAAAGTGGAGGCAGGAGGAAGTGAGTGGTTAGAGACGGGACCTCATGTGAGTTGTTTTGTGCGGAAGATTATTAAAATGGGATTTGTGCAGTTGTAGTTGGAAATGAACATGGGGATAATAAAGGAAGGATCGAGGAGTCTAGGGACACCAAACTGCTGGGCCGTTGGGCCGAAGCACCGTGGGATTAGTCTGCCCTCTAATGGCCATACGGATTCATTAACCGTATTGCGCCATCAACTTCGCCCCCTTCAGCCTAAGCAGGATCTAAGGTCGGCAAACATTTCCAGAGGACCGGCTGTGTCAAGTCCCAGTTAAATGCACAACAATTATATAGATGCTTTTGAGGGCAAATAACTATAACACAATATACTTTGAGCACCGCAAAGGAGGCAGGGATATGCTCAGAGACCGAGTTGAGGGCTATTAATTCTACCTGGACAGGAGCCAGGAAAACCTCCAAAGAGAAAAAGCTCAACAAGGACAAAGGATGAAAAAGGGTATTTGGGGTTGGAAATATGGCTTAACCATATCTCGATATGGTTAAGATCGTGTATTGCCTTTCCAGAGGACCCGAGTTCAAGTCCCAGCACCCACATTAAGTGGCCCACAAACAATTGTAATTCCAGCTCCCACTGGATCTTACACCTCTGGCCTACACACACATACACACACACAGACACACACATGCCATACAAACACATACACTTGATATTTAAAATAAATCTAGCCGGGCATTGGTGGCGCACGCCTTTAATCCCAGCACTCAGGAAGCAGAGGCAAGCAGATCTCTGTGGGTTTGAGGCCAGCCTGGTCTCCAGAGCAAGTGCCAGGATAGGCTCCAAAGCTACACAGAGAAACTCTGTCTCGAAAAAACCAAAAAAGTAAAAAAATAAAAAAAAAATCTAATTAAGAAAGAAAAGAAAAGGGTATATTATGTGGAGAGAGCAAAATGTTGAAGTTTATTTTCTATACAGGAAGTGTTAGGAGAATTTTTGTTTATTCCTTTTCGAGACAGGGTTTCTCTGTGCGCGCGTGTGTGTGTGTGTGTGTGTGTGTGTGTGTGTGTGCAAAAGCCCTGATGACCTGATGAGAGCTTTTGATCTCCTGGAGCTAGAGTTACAAGCAGTTGTGAGCCACCCCACACAGGTTCTGGGAACCTGACCTGGACCTGGATCCTCTGTAACAGCAGTAAGCACTCTTAACCACTGAGCCATTTCTCCAGCCCCCTACTTTTGAAATATTGGAAAAGCTAGTAATATAGATCCTGCAGCTCTTTATGCACAACCACTGAGAACATATTTCTACATACCTTATTTCACTCTAGTACATTTCCTGGCTGTCATAGGAGTTTGTGTTTTCACTTCTGATCTGGGAAGTGAGAATGACTGAGCAGGAAATAAGGCAGAGGAAATGAGACCGGGAAGGCTTTCCTGTGACAGGTATGAGGTGTTTGTCGTGTAGTGGGAAGGAGAGTCCACAAGTAGGGTATATGGGAGATGGAATCTGGTTTTTTAAGTAGGATCAGCTGGGCTCTGAAAAGAGAAGGATCTAAGGGACATTGACCTCTTTAGTTGAGAAACTAAAACAAGAGGTTTGGGTGGATGGCAACTAGTTTATTGAGTCTGCGGTGCCTGTAGATACCCAAGTAGCGGTTCCATGTGCTTCCAGTGAAATGAGCTCAGAGAAGATGACTGAAACAAACATTGTTAGGTCGTCTTGTCAGTGTGGTAAAATCTGGAGCTGCAAAACAACCAAAAATGTTGGTTTTTGTTTTTCTTTGTCTTTTCAAGATATGGTTTGTCTGTGTAGCCCTGGCTGTCCTGGAACTCACTCTATAGATCATGCTGACCTCTAACTCACAGAGATGCTCCTGCCTCTGCTTCCCAAGTGCTGGGACTAAAGGCATGTGCCACCACTGCCCAGTGGATGAATTATTTTTTAAGATGAATGAAGATAATCTAACCAGGAAGCTTTTAATAGCTGTCAGCTAAGGTTGAAGGTCAAGTTCCAGGAATAAGGCCTGCATTGCAGAGAAAGTAATGGATAGTTAGTATCCCCTTCATTCTTCCTCTCTTTCCCCTTAACAGCATTCACACTGACCTCCCTGTAATGTCTCTTTAAGGCTGAAGTGTCCTTATGGGCCTCAAAAGTCCCTCCTTCCTCCATCCCCTCATCCCCATGTCAGTGAACAAAGGTGTGTGTGCCTTGCACCTAGACTTGTGGTCTAGGCGATCCCAGGCCTCAGCAATGGCAGTGGTGGTGTTCATCTTGCACACAGCTCACTGTAGCTGGTTCGGTCTCTATCAGATAACACTGGGAGAGGTGTATGCCAGCTTTGAGGCCTTCCAAGTATGAGAACACAAACTCTAAGCTGTACATGGTCATAATGGTGGCAACAGTAGCATTGACCTCTGTAGGAACCACGTCACCATGGTACACCAGGCATCAAAGCCATGTGTTCACTGTGGTGAGGTCACATTTTACCATCTGGTTGACTAGCTACAAATAAGCACTGGTGACCTCTGCTAAAGATCCTTGCTCCTGATAAGCTTTCTGTCAGCAGAGAAGACAGGGGCTTATGCAGCTGCCGGGAACTGGAACTGGAAAGCTGTCGAAAGAGAGGGAAGACACAATCTGGCTAAGAAGGCCATAAGGTTGATATAGGTTGGGCGCCAATATCGAGGTTTCTAGGACATCTCATAGATGATCTCATTGTCTACCATGGAGACACAAAGAGTTGTGCAGGAATATGTAGCGACAGTGGAGTTGTAGGGTTCAAAGAGCTCCAGCTGTAATCAGCAGAGTCTCGTTCCATCAGCAGCAGCTTCCTATCAAAGGTATGGAAAAACACCAGCTAGTTAGCTCATAAATTGCATCCAAGTCAAGGTTACTGCTCTCATTGTCCATGGGCATAGTTACTGGCAGCATGTTCCTTGCCTGGGATGAACTGCTCAGAATGGGAAACCTGGAGGTGTACCAGTACAAACTTCACCAATGACTGTGGGCTCCAACTTTAATAACTGCCATCAGCACACACACCCGTCACATCCGTTTCTCTAAATGAGATGCTGAAGAAGTTATCTCCTCCTGAAGTGGTCTAGTCACTTGGCATCTGGCCCTCAGACTGGACAGAGATGCACTCTTGCAAGATGCTACAGATTAGGAGGCAAAGTGAACAGGGAGAGACGACACCAGGTCCTGGTCACTTTCCCACACAAGCTAAAAATCAGGTAAATAATGCACTGAGCAAAACAACAGATTTCTGGTGAAATAAGAAAAGCAAAGAATGCTGGGAATGGCCGGGCGTTGGTGGCGCACACCTTTAATCCCAGCACTTGGGAAGCAGAGGCAGGTGGATCTCTATGAGTTCTAGGCCAGCCTGGTCTACAGAGTAAGTTTCGGGACAGCCACGGTAACACAGAGAAAACTTATTTTGAAAAAACAAAAGAACCCCCCCAAAAACTGGCTTGAGAGATGGCTCATACATGAAGGCAAAACAGCAATGCACTTAAACAAAACAAAACAAAAACAACCAAAGGCAAACTGGG